TTGCCCCGCCCCGCTGCCCCGGCGCGCGGCGCGCCGCCCCCGCCGCCCCAGCAAGTCTCTTTACTCATTTTGTAATACATCATCTTGTAACTAACTCCTTAGTAACTTTGCTTGCAAACTTCTTGTGATGTGTATTACCAAGAGGGCCCAGAGATACCTCTCCGTCATACGGAGTGACAAATCACAATCTCGATTCACGCCAACTCAACAGACACCTTCGGAGATACCTGTAGAGCATCTTTGTGATCACCCAGTTATGTTGTGACGTTTGATAGCACGCAAGGTATTCCTCCAGAGTCTGGGAGTTCATTGATCTCATGGTGGAAGGAATATGTCTTTGACATTAAGAAAGTAGTAGCAATAAATTGAACGATCATATGCTAAGCTAACGGATGGGTCTTGACCATCACATAATTCTCCTAATGATGTGATCCCGTTATCAAATGACAACACATGTCTATGGTTAGGAAACCTTAACCATCTTTTGATCGACGAGCTAGTCTAGTAGAGGCTCACTAGAGACACGGTGTTGTCTATATATTCACACATGTATCTGAGTTTCCGATCAATACAATTCTAACATGGATAATAGACGTTTATCATGAACAGGGAAATATGATAATAACCAATTTATTATTGTCTTTAGGGCATATTTCCAACACCCGCCACCCTAGTATAAGTGTGGGAGGAGGCAACGTGACCAAATATAGTTGTGGCGAGCGACTGCCAGAACCCGCCACCCGCTATTTGAAAATATAAAAATGTTTGGCGCGTGGGTGCCCAAATATTGTTCTGGCGGGTTCAAAATGCCGCCCGCCACAGATGTGGAAGAGAATTGTGGCGGGCATCGATCTGCACCCGCCACAGTAGCTTGCCAGCTGGGCACAAATTAGAAAACGCATAGCTGTGGCGGGTTATCTCGGCCGCCCGCCATAGCTACTTGTGGCACTGGCGGGCAGGTTTTAGCGCTCGCCACTGTTCCTTTCAAAATTAGCAGTGGCGGGTGCCCTGCTTCGCCCACCACTCATTAGGGTTCACCTATAAGCCCTTTCCCAGTAGTGAGGGTGTGATAAGCCCCTTTGAAAGGACGGCCTCAAAAGAGAGGGTCTTAGCCCGAAAATTTCCCCGAGTTGGTAAGACAACCTCCAAAGAAAACTAGGGAAACTTGTTTTGAATACGATCCAACAATATTACTTTTATGAGATATCACTTGTATTTCACAGACTAAATCTACAATCAATGTTTGCCCCAAAATACAAGAGACCAAATAAACAAACTTGGACGGGGAAGTATGAGCTTAAACCAACAACCTTTGCTTAAGCTCCAAGATGCAAAGATACAGCTAAGTTATTTATTGCCTCATTCTCTATTAAACAACTATTAATCTATAACCTATTCGAATGGTTGTATGATACCTTGTGGATTGCTGACATTGATATAAACTTACCAACACTTTTATATTGTACATGTTATAGGAGACGCTCTTAAGCACTCAGTGTCAAAATTTCTTATATTATGATAGCGAGGAAGTACATACGATCACTGCAATTGTGTGTACTTCCGTGCAACACGTTGGCTAATAAATAATTGTAGGAGGATGGCAAATGGACCGACGAGTCCATCCGCGGGTCAAGCCGGCTGTGATATTTTATTACAGTACTCCCTCCGATTTATATTAATATTTATCTTGGATTTGTCTAGATAGGGATCAGAGGGAGTATATATTTTTAAGAGATTAGGTCATGGATTTTTAAATTATGCATCGTGTAAATCTAGACTATGCTACCTCTTTTTTATCAAAAGTTGACGTAAAGTATTTTAAGACTAGTTACAATGGGTAGTAACTTAGACTAGTAACATGCATATGTTACTAGTCTATGTTACTACCTCTATAGTGGGGAGTAACATATGTGTAGCGTCATGCAACACTTCATTTATTAGGTTGTAGACTCATCTTGTCTTGGTATGTGTGATGTTACAGTAACTAGCTATGTTACCATATGCCCATATTTCCTCATTTATTACTCGTCACATCATCTGTTTTGCTTAGAGATATGTACCGAAGCACCCCTACATCATATGTTTGTTTAATTATTGTTGTTTAAGTTTGCTGTTTAATTATTGTTGGTGAAGTTTGCTGTTTAATTATTGTTGAGGTGTGTACCTTTTAATGTTTCCTTCTAATTATTGTTGAGAAGTTGTGGAGCTTCTCGGTGCCTCCGCCCTCGCTGACAGCCCTGTGTTTTTTTCTGCGCGAGGTCGGAGCTGTGAGTGAGGGTGGTTGGAGCCAAATAAAGATCAGGAGAGATGGCAAGTGGAGCTTTGCTGACGGAGCGGAGACAAAGAAGGTGGGGTTAGATGCCACATGTGCCTGAAAGAAACAGCTTCGCTCTGGGACCGGTTGATGTCACCCCGGCCGGCCTGATTAGTGTAAGACAATCAGTAAAATATTGGCCTTGGGAGTTGCTTCTTTAATCATAAGTCTCCTTCCTCTGCCTCATCCCTTTTCACACAGCAGGATCTAGATCTCACCTCGCGTCCATGGAAGTCTCCTCTCCTATCCTCTTTCTTGGACAGCTTGAGAATTGATCCGGCAACCTAGCTCGGAAGAAATCATCACAAGCTTAATTTCCCCTTGACTAGGTTGCAGCTGCAGGGCCTCGATCGGCAGGTAATCACCTTGAAACGAGCTTCTCCTGAGTATTTTGACCCCGTATCTTCTCCAAATCTCATTTGTTCTAGTTGCATGCGCAATCACCGTATGGAGATATCTGTGTGTTTCTTCTGCTAATCGGAACTGCAACCAATATGTATCCAGTAATAATACAGACGACTGTTGTTCTGGACCTCTTTGAGTCCATGTTTGGATCCCATCTAGCTCGTCTTGGCTGGATGGGATTTTATTTCAAATTCCATGCCATCCGACAGAATAGGAGTGCGGCTATGCATCTTTTCGTTTTTCTATTGCAAAACACAGGAGTGCGTGATCGTAGAAAGAAAAAAAAAACTTTATGAATCGATGGAGCAGCTGGGCCTGGTACCTTCACAAATAATGCGCTTGCTCTTGTTGTAGGGGTTCCGTGACATCTAATTGCAAATGGAACGCCGATCTACTGTCACACGAATGGACCTGGAGTTCATGCTAATTGATGAAACGGCAGAGCCCATGGCTCTGCCACTGACACTTCTGCGTCATATCACCGATGATTTCTCTGCTGAGCATGAAATTGGCAGAGGTGGGTTTGCGGTGGTTTATAAGGTACAGCAACTCTGAGCTGATCCGGTCTGTAGGGAAAACTGTAGTTGTTGCTGACAAGGCAACTTCTCTCTGTAGGGAAAGCTTGGGAATAGGACTGTGGCAGTGAAGAGGATGTCCAATACGTTTGTAGATGAAAGCGAGTTCCACCGAGAAGTTCAATGTCTCATGATGGTTAAACACAAAAATATAGTACGGTTTCTGGGATATTATGCTGAAACACATTGGACTATGGTAACCCAGGAGGGAAAATTCGTTATGGCAGATGTAAACCAAAGATTGCTCTGCTTCGAGTATCTTCCTAATGGGAGCCTTGATAAGTATATCACTGGTAGGATCATGTGGCACGCAAAGGTTCTTTTAACCTGTATTATCATCATTGAAGATCATCTATTTTCAGTTCACCATGTCGCATACTATCTATACATTTGAATAAGTACGTCAAATAATACGAAGCTGCCTTTATCATGTCCCCTTTGTAGATGCATCTTGTGGACTTCAGTGGAGAGACCGCTTCCAAATTATCACAGGAATTTGTCAGGGGCTACATTATCTTCATCAGAATAGCTTTATGCACTTAGATCTAAAGCCCACAAACATATTGTTGGATGATAATTTAGTACCAAAACTTGCTGATTTCGGTCTATCTAGATGCTTTGTTGAATCACAAAACTGGGCTAGTACTTCGATACGTGGAACAGCGTAAGTTTGCTAAGCCTCTTGAAAGTTCAATCTTTTTCCTTCTTCTATGATTTATACTAACACTACAACATCTTGCTCATTAACCGATCACATGGATTTCTTTTTTGCAGTGGATATATAGCACCCGAATATTATAACTATACTGAAGTCACACACCAGCTTTCGCCCCTTCTTGATATCTATAGTCTTGGTATAATAATAATAGAGATACTCACCGGCCGGAAGGGGAATATTGACGCTGATGAGGTAAGAACAACTAGGTCTTCTTTCAAAAATAAAGGTTGTACTTTAAAACTAATGCATTACTTGCTTATCTTTTTAGATGTAGCATAATATCTCTCTCTTTCATTTTTAGCAATAAATCCACCATGGACTACATATTTTGACTGAAAGCCTTAAAAAGATCCTGTGACATTATAAATATGAAAACTAGGATTTGAAATTTTGAACCTCTAGTTGATGGAAGGCACTCACAACCCTACCACACTTCAACAGGCGGTGGTTCAACTATATATGTAGAAAAGAAAGACATGTTGAACTACATCTGAAGTACTGTCATGTTGCACCGATATTTAGCACTTCAAAATCCCTCAAATTAGCATGTTGAACCAGATTGAAATCACGGTTTTAGGCTTTTAGCTATAACATTTAGTGCATTGTGTCGTAATTTTTTTAAACATGGTTCAACATGCCCGAATATACCTTTCCTTTCTAATGTTGCCTAATGTAGTTCTTGGTAACACATCGAATGGTGGAAAGAGAAAATTGAGTGCACAAGGATCTAACAACATTTCCTTTCGACTTTCAAAGCATCAGGATAACAACTAGATTTACAAATGGACCAAAAATGAGCATGCACTTAACGGAGACACTCGTAGCAGTAGTATAAATTGTTGAAAATGGAAATAAAATGAATCAAAATACATATGGTTGGATGAGTAGCAGTTTCCAGAAAAGAGTATATTATATTCATATTCGTTTTGATTAGGCGTAGATCGTAATGTCTATCTGGCGGTTGTCGGTCATGCTCTAGTCTTGAGTGACCGGTTATTCTGCCTGGTCTTGGGCTGATAAAGTTGGAAATCTTTTATTTCTATCAATTCATCTTGGCGCATGTTTTGTGTTTTCTTGAGAGAAAAAATCTCACCAACCATGTCCCAGTTATCTCCAACTGGAACTTTGGATGCATATTTCTTTTTAATTCAACTGATACCTGGTTTCTTCCGATATGTGAGAAGAAACTAGGGGCACACCCTAATTAAGTTCTTGAGAATTTTTCATTGTTAGCTTGAGGTCTTAGTTGATGTGGTTTTGCGTAAGCTGTTGACATCATGTATGGGGCTAGTATATAGTATTGCATACTTTAATTTCATATTTTAAGAGATGGTGCTTCTTTTCGTAACTCACAAATTCTATTCATAGGTAGTTGAAAGTTGGAGTAACATGGTGGAGAAATCACATAGCGACGTACAGATGGAACAGGTACGCATATGTGCTGAGATAGCAATAGAGTGCATCGACTTCAACCCGGCAAAGAGACCGGATACACAACATATAATCAGTAGACTCGATCAGATAAAAATCATGGACGGATATGTTAAAACTGGCATGATTACTTCACATCAGGTAAGATCACTCACATGCCATCCATGATATCCTTCCCACAATACTTAATCTTGAGAGCTCGTGTACACCTCCCTTTGGACTTTTGGTGTACGAGCTAGCAGATGAAGTGAAGTGTCCTTGATGGTTATTTTAATAGGCCAAAGATGCTCCAAATGAACTGCATCAAGATACGACTGACGCACCAGGAGAGACAAGCTTTAAGGTGAGCTCTCATCTGAAAGTACATGTAAATAGTGATATGTTCGTAAATTCAAGATACGTATATCTAGGGCCTGTTCGGATGCACTCCGCTCCGCAACTCCGCGCCCGGAGCGGGCGGAGTGGCACCGAACGCTGCCGCTCCTCGGAGTAGAAAGAGTGGAGCGGAGCTGCATGTAGTTCAATTCGGCGGAGTGGCTAATACCGAGCTCCGCGGGCGACTCCCTTTCTCGATCGATCGAAATTGCTTTCTCTCTCGCAGCGACCCCCCGACCATTGAGCCAAAGCATCATGCCGCCACCACCCACTAGCGTCGTTCCCTGGCGGGCTTGCCGTCCACGCCGCGATGCGCTCCCTGATGGCCGCGTCCGTGCGCGCCGCCACCGCGCGCTCCAGGGCCGCCGCCCCCGCCCGTGCCCGCTGTGCACCAGCAAGTCAGAAGAGCGTGCGGGCTCTGTGCTGACGGCGTGGATGCAGTTCCCGAAGTACTCCCCCGGCAGCGCCAGCCAGAGCCGCCCTCGGTTGTTGACGGCCACGCGGAACGCCGTCTCGTGGTCCGGGACCAGCCGCCGAGCGCGGGTGACACACCGCCGCATCAGCGAGCCCAAGGCCTGGAACCGTGTCACGGCGGCCGCACCTGCCGCGTCCCCGGCCGCCAGGAGCTCCTGCCTAGCCTGTTCCTTGAGCGCCGCCAGCGACTCCACTGAGAAGTACAGCACGCGCCCGCGCAGTAGCGTCCGCGCCGGCCTCTGGATGAGCTCCAATGGGTCTGCGCATGGCAGCACGACCGGTGCCTTGCTGCCGGGAGGGACGACGTCGGCGACCTCGACGCGGCCGGCGACGGCGTGGAGGAGCTCGACGGCCCCTGCACCCTTGTGATTGATTGTTCATGGACTATGGAGTGGAGTCAGTTGCCGAACATCTTATCAACTCTCGATTGGGTGGGAAGAGCCATCAGTCCAGGAGCTGGGAGTGGAGTGGAAGATTTGAAGGAGTGGAGTGCATCCGAACAGGCTCCTATTTGTTATCCCTGTGCCCTCATTATTGCTAACACTTGGCAAAATATTTTTGAAACTATTTTTTTGAAGCAAGAGGAACAATTTTCAAATGCCAATTTTTCGAAAAAGAATTATACATGTATATATTTACATCTTCGGCGAGCCTGTTAATTCTCATGAACGAAAGATAATTTTTGCACCTGCGTTGCAAAAATATTGTTTCTATGGAGTCACTATTTGTGGTAGTTTTGAAAAATACGAAAAATGTTCCTCCATTCACCATTTGCGTTGATGATATTTTTGAGATATGCCCAACAAAATCGGAAAGGAGGGAGTATATCAGATGGATGAGAACACAACTTCCTACTTGTTTTTCTTCAAATTATCATGGAGGGAGCCTCAAATTAGTAAACATAATATTTTATTTTGGCAAAGTCCGTACCGACTCTATGGAGTCACTAATACTAAATTATTTTTTCCCATTTGGTCATTTTGTTCTACCAATGATTTTTGATATGATATGTGACTGGCATACTCATTTGAGATTTTGCCTCTTGCAGGTGTTAAAGATTGGCGTCGGTGCTATCTCAAAACGGAACTTGAAGAAAAGAAAGATTCGGGCGGCCATGGAAAACAATCCTCACCATTCTGCTTGGCTTGAGGGGACGAGAGAGATGGAGGAGGACCCAGTTACTGTTTCGCTCGGCCCCTCGGGCCCTCTCTTCCAGAAGCTCCGTTCTGTCATTGCTTCGCAAGACAGTCGGCTGAAGAGGGTTAAGGTTGAGATCTTGTTTCTCGGCCAAGGACTCAAGGGATTGTGCAACGGATTTAGCAAGGATCTATTTGAGGCGCCGCAGGATAGCATTACCAGGTGCTGGATGAGGCAGGTCCGGGATCTGTGCTATGATACAACAGACTACCTCGACCAGGTCATGCACTTCATCCAATACTCCGGTACTGGTAGGGGTAAGATCCGTATTTTTTGGGGGAAACGTCTTGGATCCAAGATCTTTCGGGTTTCCCGTAGGCTCACCTGGGTTTCGTTGCCAAAAGTGAAAAGGTTGAAGCGAGGCCTCATGATTGCAAAATTATTAGCATTGCTAGCTCGTGTCGAGGATGCAGATGAAAGACGCGAAAGATTCAAGATTTCTCCACCGGAAGCCAGCAAACATGACTATTCACAAGCCGCCAGAGCCGGTATCAGCCACCCCATGGCCCGACTTCCCATCCAACTCCATGTCGACAAGCTCATCAAGCTGCTGGCCTTCGAGCACGACGACAATTTGATAGAAAAAGAACTCAAGGTGGTAAGTATCTTTGGATCTGCAAGTTCTGACAAGACAGCAGTTGCGAGGACCTTATATCACCGGTATGGAGGGAAGTTCCAGTACCGGGCTTTTCTACGGGTGTCTCGAGATCCAGATATGAGGAGGCTTCTCACCGACATGCTCACACAATTCAAGGCCCCACCAACCCATACAGTTTCTGATGTCCAAGGACTTATTGAAAGTATCACCAAACATCTGCAAGGAAAAAGGTATTTCCTATCAATTAATTAAACAAAACGTGCTGTGCTATTAATAAAATGAACCTAATGGCAACTAGCATAATTCTGCGTTACTCTATCTTTGCTTTGGGGCTGTCTGGATAAAGCCCCAAATAAAGGCCAAAATAAATCTTAGTTAACCCATTTTTTTTATTAAAGAAGAGTAAACTAGTAAAACTAAAAGCAAGGGGGATACCTCTGTGATACTAGTTGTCGGTGTACTAAAGTATGGGTACCTTAGTATCCCGAACTTGTGCACGGGCAGTCGCAGCGCCCCGCGGCAAGGCTTGTCGGGTGACCGCCCAGGTCCTCCGTGGTTCCTTTGGAGCCATTCGAGAACAAAGTATTCAAGTCAAAGAAACAAGGACCCGGCAAGAGGAGCTTGCCGGGGAGGACAGCCAAGGACCCGACAAGAGGAGCTTGCCGGGAAGGACAACCAAGGCCCCGGCAAGAGGAGCTTGCCGGGAAGGACAGCCAAGGCCCCGGCAAGAGGAGCTTGCCGGGAAGGACAGCCAAAGCCCCGGCAAGAGGAGCTTGCCGGGCGCGACAAGTCAACGACCACGGCAAGGCGCTTGCCGCGGCAAGCAACCACTCTGTACCCGCGCTCCAGCTCACCCACCAACGTGTCGCTCTGGGACCTTTCCAGGCGCACGTGGCGGGAGGCTATGCAGCCAGGGGTACGCGGTGGCACGCGGCGATGACAAGAGCGCCATCGTGGCGAGCGGTGGCATCCCTGACGATGCCTTTCTGCACTGTTCGGGCGACACAGACGGGCATTTAATGCCCTTGTCCCCTGCCGTCAGGGTTAGGTATGATACACTGTACGAGTAGCTGCACCAACTACATCGCTTTTACACTTTTGCCCTTGCCTACGTTGCCACCTGTCGGTGACCCCTTTGAGCATATAAAAGGAGGCCCATGTGCAACGTAGAGGAGGGTTAGACATTCCAGAGCTCTCACGCTCGGTCTTGTTAGCGGCTGGTACGTACTGTAGCTCCAGCGCTCCCGAGCAAGAATACAATACAATCCACAAAGCAGCAGTAGGGTTTTACGCATCCGTGCGGCCCGAAGCTGGGTAAACTGCTCGTGTGCCTCGCCTCGATCTGCTCTTCGTGCGATCTCCGCCCCCCGCCGAACCGAAAGGGGCCTCCGGTCCCATAGGTGTTCGAGGAGCCAGTTTCCCCCGACACTAGTTGAAAGATTAGGTCTATCAACTAAGGGGAAAAAATAGGAGATTTTTCAGCCAGATCTTTGTATGTGATACATATTTTCTGCGTAATTTTGTCCTGCCTTCTGTATCTTGTTCTGTTTATCTCTTGTCTTTTGTGTAAAATAGTAATATATTTCGGTTGGCCAAAAAAAATCTGCAGGTACTTAATTATAATAGATGATCTATGGTCCACGTCAGCCTGGGATATTATTATCCGAGCTCTTCCTGATGGTGATTATTGCAGAATAATAACAACAACACAGGTTGAGGATGTAGCACTGGCATGCTGCAGTTACCAGTTAAAGCATATATATAAGATTACTCCTCTTAATGATGATCAATCAGGAAAATCTGAGGGTGGTTGTATTACATATCCTAGTTCCGAAGGGATGAAAGAAGCTCTAAACCTTGTGTATGATAATCTTCCACCCCATTTGAAGGCATGCTTGTTATATATGAATATGTATCCAGAAGGATACACGACCAAGAAGGATGAATTGGTGAAGCAGTGGGTTGCTGAAGATTTTATCGGCTCAGTACAAGGACAAGACAGAGAGAACACCGCGGGATGTTATTTTGATGCTCTCGTCAGTAGTGGACTGGTCCAGTCCGTAGATACCGATCATAATGGTGATGTGTTGTCATGTACGCTTCACCACATGGTGCTGGATCTTATCAGACAAAAATCCATGGAGGAAAACTTTGTCACTGTTGTGAACTAGTATTTTCAAACAATTCTAGGACTTCCTGACAAGGTCCGTAGACTGTCTGTCCAGTTGGGAGGTGCAAAAGGTGCAAATACTATACCAGACAATATGAGAACATCCCAAGTTAGATCACTACTATTTTCTGGATTCTTCAAAGGTGTACCCTCCATTGTAGAATATGGGCTTCTTCAAGTTTTGATTCTTCATATTTGGTCTGATCAAGACAAGACTTTTGACCTCACTTCAATTGGTGAACTATATCGACTGAGATATCTGAAGATTGAGTGTAATATCACTGTCAAGCTTCCAGGCAAGATTCGAAGGCTGCGGCACTTGGGTACTCTGCAGGTAGATGCAAGATTAGCGGT